CCGCCCCGCCCCGCCGCGATTGGCCGAGCGCCGCCCGCGCCCCGCCCGCTACCCCGGTTGCTACGGGAGACTCGGCCCCAGGCTTCCGATTGGCCGCTTCTCTCTTCCCCCCTCATTGGTCCGCCGGGGCACGGGAAGTGCTTGACAGCGCCGCTCGCTACTGGCCAGGGGGGAAGAAGTTCCGTCTCCCGCGGGCGAACGGCCCAGTCGGAGCGGAGCGGACGGCCGGGAGAGCGAAGGGGAAGATGGCGGTGGTGGCGCCGCTGCTGGCGCTGCTGTACTCGGTGCCGGGGCTGTGCCGCTGGCTGGCGCGGCCCTACTACCCGCTCTCCGCCCTGCTGGCCACCGCCTTCCTGCTCGTCCGCAAGGTCCCGCCGCTCTGCCAAGGGCTGCCCTCCCAGCGGGAGGACGGCAACCCCTGCGACTTCGACTGGGTGAGGCGGCCCGGCCTGGGCCCCGCGCCCCGGGATGGGCCCTCCTCCGGGCCTGCACCCCCGGCCCACCCGCGGGAGTGGGGAGGCCCAGTAGCCGCTGGCATGGCTCCGCCGGCGCCGTCCCGCTGCTGAGGGGCTCCCCGGGCACCGGCGAGGGTGGGGGGGGCCGTGCCTGTCGTTGCAGGGGCAGCCGCCGCCCTTGCCGCCTCTCCCTCGGCACGCGGGAGGGAGGGAAAGGAGCTCCGGGAGGAGACGGGGAACCGGCAGGGACTCGGGGCCAGCAGGGCCTGGCACAGCTGCTGTTTTCCCTGTGCCAGGCTGGGCCAGGAGCAGCCTGGCTGCGGGAGGGCAGCATGGCTGCAGCCGGTGCTGGCTGGGTGCCACGGGTGCCTCCTGCTCAAAACGTCTCTCCTGTCCTCCCAGCGGGAGGTGGAGATCCTCATGTTCCTCAGCGCCATTGTGATGATGAAGAACCGACGCTCTAGTGAGTTGGGGCCTGTGCTTGGGGGGTGGGCGTGGGGGCCGTGGGGCTGCTCGGGGGGCCTCCCCCAGGGAGCCGGGTGGGTTGGGATCCGGAGGGTCAGATCTGGCCCTCCCACCAGATCCGCCCTGGTCTTCTGGGGGGATCTGGCCCCGTCTTCTATCTTTCTCTCCCTCCCCCAGTCACCGTGGAGCAGCACATCGGGAACATCTTCATGTTCAGCAAAGTGGCGAATGCCATCCTCTTCTTCCGCCTCGACATCCGCATGGGCCTGCTTTACCTCACGCTCTGCATAGGTGAGACCTGCTGGGGGGGAACGCATAGCACTGGGGGGTAGCAGCGGTGTCCCCCTGCCCTCAGCACCCACTGTCCCCCCGTTCTCCGCACCAGCCGGCTGGAAGGGCCAGAGGTCCCTCTTGCTGTGGGGCTGAGGCCTTGGATGCTGGACAAGGCTGCAGCTGTAAGGAGTCTCGGTGGGTGAAGGGGGGGGGGGGGCCCAGGAAGCACCTTGGGGGGGAAGCCTGCCTGTCCCAGGGCTCGCTCTGCTTTGGTTCCCCCCTGGGCTGCTCTGGGGAAGGAAGAGCCTCCCAAACCCAGCCTGGGCCTTCCAGGTGCTGGGGAGGGGGGGCTCAGGAGCGCTGTCATTGCAGTGTTTCTGATGACCTGCAAGCCCCCCCTCTACATGGGCCCCGAGTACATCAAGTATTTCAGTGACAAGACCATAGATGTGAGTATCCTCTCCCTGGGGAGGTGCCGGGGGGCTCTGCCCACCGCCCCCAACTGAGCCCCCCACCCTCGTGGCAGGAGGAGCTGGACCGGGACAAGCGGGTGACCTGGATTGTCGAGTTCTTCGCCAACTGGTCCAGCGAGTGCCAGTCCTTCGCGCCTATCTTCGCTGACCTCTCTCTCAAGTGAGCGGTGCCCGCTGGGGGCCTCGGCGAGTCTCAGGGCCAGGGCTCATGCCCAGCCTCTGCAGTCACCCGTGTCACTTGTGGCTGTTTGTCCCCGTCCTCCCCAGGTACAACTGCTCAGGGCTGCACTTTGGGAAGGTGGACATCGGCCGGTACACAGACGTCAGCACCAGGTCTGGGGCGAGAGGACCCGGGCAGCAGGGCCTGGGCTGGGGCAGAGTCCCTGGGAGCCCCCCCAGCCTCCCTCCAGCTGCCTGGGGGTCACCTGTGGCCTCTCCCCTTCCCACCACAGGTACAAGGTCAGCACCTCGCCCCTTACCAAGCAGCTGCCCACCCTCATCCTCTTCCAGGGCGGGACAGAGACCATGCGCAGGCCCCAGATCGACAAGAAGGGCCGGGCTGTGTCCTGGACCTTCTCTGAGGTGGGTGAGATGTTCTGCCCTCTGTGTGCGCCCCCCCCCCGGGGCAGGATGGGGCTCAGCAGCCAGCCTGTGCCCCGGGAAGGGGTGGGCGGGGCTGCAGGGGCCCCCAGGGGTGCTGACGCTGCTTCTCGGCTGCAGGAGAATGTGATCCGGGAGTTCAACCTGAACGAGCTCTACCAGAAGGCCAAGAAGCAGTCGAAGCCGCGGGAGGAGGGGCCCGAGGAGCCCCCTGGAGCACAGGCAGCCGCTGGACACCCTGACGGGGAGACCAAGAAGGAGAAGTAGAAGCTGCCTGGTGCTGTCGCCCATCACCGCCTCGGCCTGGTGGCACCGGCCCCGGGCGCCCTGCCGGGGCCGCTCTGGCTGAGGGGAGCCGGGGAGTCCCCGGGCCGGGCAGTAGGACAGACCCCGCCCTCGGTTATCGCCCGTCCTTGCCGCTGACAATAAACGGCCCGGGCCTGGGTCTGTGCCCGTGTCCGCACTCTGTCCGTGCCCGGGGGCGAGGCCGCCTGGACCGTCGGGGGCGGGGCTCGCCGCCGGGGCCGAAGGCGCTGCGCTCTGATTAGCTGGCGCCGCGGCGCTGGCTGCACGGCGGGGA